GGTAGTGTTTTGCTGATCTAAGATATTAATATGTGATCAATATTAGATTCATTCTAATACCATATATCAAATACAGTTAAGTTAACCAATGAGTTACCATCTATTACTGCTCCTAAAAGGAGAAGTTGTGATTGCTGTTGAAAATGAAAATGTATAAAAAATGTTTTGAAATTGTAGAATTCGTTTTTTTTTGTTTGTGAAAAGTAATAAAAACAAAGATTTGAATGGGATGTTTAGTGAGATATATCTTCTGAACTACGTTGCAACTCAAAGGTTGTTCTATTGATGTATTTTTGCATTAGAAAAGAAATCCCAAATTCTCATTTTTATTAGAAAAAGCAATCTTACATCGGCATCTTTTAAATCACATTGAATTATAGAAATTATTGAAATCTATTTTGATATGTGTGACCCGTTATCCAAGGAAGTAAAGTTTATTCATGATATTAATGAATTGTATTTTCCAAATTTTGCTAAATAGTTATTGAAAGTATAAAATGGGATAAAAAATTTGACACGATTCGAAGTCAAGAATTTATACAACTTATATTTTTGGATAAACTGGATTTATGTGCAATATAAAAAAATAACCTATTATTTTGAAATTTCAAAGAAAAGACAATTTAAAATTGATGTAATCTTTTAAATCATAGCATTCTGACATGATAAGATACTAAACCTAGAAATAAGTCTATCTCTATCAATAATTTGCACACCTTGAACTAAAGTTGGTGCAAATGAAAGACTAGACCCATAACTTCAAATTCTGAATTAGAAAAAGCAAATTCAAAATTGTTGTAATCTTTTAGATCATATTCTGACATACTTCTACATATGATACTAAATATAGAACTAAATCACGAATCTCTACCAATAGTTTGGACACTTTGAACTAAAAGTGCAAATGAAAAACTAGACCCGTAATTTGAAATTTTAAATTTTGATAGAAAAGACCATTTCAGAATTGATATAATAATTTAAATCAAAACATTCTGACTGATTTCTGCATAAAGATACTAAAACTAGAAAAATGCCAGAATATCTATCAATAATTTGCACATCTTGAACTCAAGAAATACAAGACATTTGATTATGAAAATGTTTAACGTGCGTTTTTAAAAATAATCTTCAAAATTTAAATTTTGCTGATTTTTTATAAATACATTTCATTGAAGAAAATTTCACTTTCATAACATAAAATCTGGATGAAGTATTTTCAAGCTAGGTTGTCTGCCATGTGTACAAGAGCAAAAACGCCTCTGTATGCGGTGTAGTAAAAAGGCAATAAAACTATTATACTACTGTAGTAAATTTTACTACAAACCGTATAATACGCACAATTCCGTCATAACATTTGATTCATTGAAAAACCAAATAATAATAATAATAAACCATGAAATTCTTTCATTTGATACTCGAATGTTAATCATTCACGAGATTTCACACACGCATATTTTTATGGTGAAACGTAATCAATTGCGTTATCAAATATCAATATATATATATATATATATATATATGTTTGTATTTATATATAAATCTTGCGTATTTCATTTACAAAACTACACGTGTCGCCAACTCATGAGTACGAAAGTATCATTTGAACGTTCTGAGAAACGTATTTGCATATATATGATCGCGTATATGATAAATATAATACTTATGTATGTAGAAAACGTAAATGTATGTGTAGAACATCATGAATCCAAATTCTTGAAGATATCCTTAAAATATTTTAATTGGAGACAACACGATTTGATAATAAAAAGTTGCTCAATAAAAAGGATTTTAGTACGATTCATATTGCAGTACTAAATTTCATATTTAAAATTATACAATGTTGCACGAAAAATTAGCAAATAAACATTAGTCAGTTAAAACCAAAAAAAGAAAATGAAAATAAATAAAGGTCAAATTGTGTAATGAATATCTAAAATATTTTTGCAATAAGTTGTAAACCACTAATACTATTACCATAAATGTATTTAATTTACAAACGAATTAGTAGTTTTTGCGCAATTTTACTCTTACGAACTGTAGATGATTAACAATGGGTTTTATTAAATCTATATTTAAATTTAAATCGTTGTAAGATTTGGGTGCCAAAAACTTGACATTAATCACTTAATTAATCTGACTACTTATAGGAGTAATCAAGTAAACAAAATCGTAATAATAAGTAATAAATTTTAAATTTGAATTAAAAGCTTCATACAACAGAAATAGATAGCATAAATTTAGCAAAATGTGTAGAAGCATAAGATTTTGCAATTTTTCTGAGAAAACAAATTCGATATTTCTAAAAATGTAATTGAAAAATTTATTTCAAAGGGTCATAAACAATTGAAAATTAGAAATTGAAAAAATGAACGACCTTTATCTATTATATTAATATTTTTATATGGGAAAAAATTAAAATATATGCAATTTTTAACTGGTTTTAAAATGGAGGCGTTTAGCAGTTTCAAAACCTAAAAAATGCAATAAGTGATACGAAATTTACCAAAGAAAAAAAATTTGACGTCCAAATTTCACTTAAAATTTAAAATCTTACTGTTTTTGTTCAAAATCTGTAAGAAATGTTTCAAAAAATTTAAATCTATTACTGAATGCATTGGTTTGATGTTTAAATAGATTTAAATCAAATATAACCATTAGAGGTACAACAACCGTCTGAGTATTTTCCCAATTTTGCTAAATCGGTATAAAATTGGATAGCAGCAAAGATATCTATTTTCACTTTGAATAAGTAAAAAATTAAGTGTTTCCAAGTAAATAAACAAATACAATAAAGTTGCATAAATGACCAAAACTACCAATTTTGAAAGTGTGTAAAATATAATCACAACTAAAAAAAATAACTAATCAATTACGGTATTACTAATAGTAATCTGTAAAAACTAACAAAACAATTACCAAGTCTTCGTAAAAAAGAGAAATGAGAATTGAAAAATACTAACTTGAAGTATGTAGAATATAACCAAAACTGATAGAATAAGAATGGAATCGAGTTACTAAATATCTTCATGATGATGTCAGATGGTGATACACAAAATTAAAAAAAAATTGGTCAATAATAATTCCTTTCCCTACGCCACTGTGTATATTCATATGAAAACGTTACAACCTTATATCGCGCGTAAAGTCAATTCTAGTCGATCGAAGGGGCGGAGAGGGAGGGGGGAGGTTACAGAATACGCTTCTTCGCGAGTTTTGGATTATTATGCTGAAGGTTGCCAGGAATGCGTTCGAAATGATTCTCTCACTCACTAGCACTAGACTGACTTGCTTCTCGAAGTCAAGTATACGGACTACGGAGACGGAGCTATTGCAAGGCCACTTGCTTACCATTCGGTCACATGCCGTAGATTTATAGCAAAACGAATACATACTATATATTTTGCCATCGTATGTAACGGAATAAGAGGAAAATATATGAATGGCATGATAAACTTACTGTAGAAGTCGATAGTATTAAAAATAAATGTCCACATGATAAGTCAATATTTTTGAAGAACGGTTGTTTTCCATACAGTAAAATAAAATTTACTAGTATAAATATATTGGCTTCTTTTAATCAGCATGGCATAAAATATGGAAACATAAATTAGCATTATGTGTTATCCGTTACAAGTCGTTCAATATACTGTCTCCTGCCCCACCTACGATCGTCGGAGTCCGAATTCTCTATTCAATTTCAAGTGGTTAGTCACGCAATTTCTATACTTTGATTTTATATCGTACTAAATACAATGCTTTTACAATATATTCATTATCACAATAATTCTCACGTGTTTAAAAGTGTTATAGAATACAGAAAACATTAAGATTTCATTAAGAATCCAATACGAAATGTAATTGTATTGAACATTGAGACATGAAAATAATATATAAATGAATAAAAATAAAACACACTTGAATAATAAAGAAAATGAATAAGTGAAATATTAAATTTGTAATTAAACAAAATCTAAGAACCAGCTATAAAATTTACTCCTAGAAGATTCTTATCAAGATCTACTTCTTAAATTTATTGTTTGTAACTGTAAATGATAGGAAAAGCAACTTAAAACTGATTTATCAACAATAACTCTTTCATTTGTAAAAAAATTGATGTACAATTGAAGAAAAAAATCAAAGTGCTTCGTGTTATTTCATAAACATTGATAAATTCCTAACGGAGCGTCCATCAATAACCTGAGGAATTTAGGGACAGAAAAATTACGAATGATCACGTGAGGGAGAAAGGTGTCTAATTAGATCTCACCTGTAATTATTTTATACCTGATTATTTTTAAATCCAAAAATTTTCAAAAAGATAAAAAAAATTACCAACTTTTCTCATAATTAAAAATACACGTGATTTTTGGTGGGGAAGGGGGTTAATTTTAAAAATCACAACGTATAACCAAGGGGGAATGGGGTCCAAAAACCCTTAAAAAATTGATTATGTGATTAATGGGCGCCTCCTTATCATTATAACTCGTTAGAGTTCGTCAATACTTGAAATTTCATCTGAATCTATGCAGAAGTAATTAATAAAAATTATGCACAAGATTGGAATGGATATGGATGGCAGTATCAATTTAGATATATACACTCGTTTATATATAAGAATGAATATTTGTATAAACCTGAACATTTTGCAAAAGGAGTTTAATTTTGAGGAGATTGGATTTGAGGAGAAGAGATCTACACATAAAAAATATTTTAACAAGGCTTTCATTATTAGAGTGTTGCCTTAACATTTTGCTAAAGGAGTTTGTCAATCATAATATCAATTTGAAGAGAGGAGAGCTGCATATGGATTTATTACAACAAGGCTTCCATTGGAGAGTTGCCTAATCAAGCCATATTGGACAAAGTCAAATCTCTCCAGTTTAACTTAAATCTAATAGCTCAGACTGTTTCAATATTTTGTTAGATATTTATTGTCATCAAAACCATATCAATTTAATTTATACCAAAACCAAAATTTCAAAGTTATTACTATTACTAACCTTCCATCCGGCTGAAGAATTGCTGTCCCCCTTATCCTTGAAGTAGGGTACGTTCTGGACCATCCATTCGTAAATTTGGGACAATGTCAGCCTGCTATCGGCTGCTGATTGTATTGCCTGCGTGATCAGATCGGCATAAGATAGATTACCCCAGGCATTGCGACGAGATGAATTCTTTTTGGTATTTTGGGCGGACGATGGGGCTGGCAGACCAGTTCCTGGGGAGGAAAAGAATATGAAATATTAAAAACTACAAATTTGTTATAGAATATTATAAAATGGCTTGGGTCAACTAAATTTATTATGGTTTTCAGAACAATCTTTAACACGTTCGGGGGCGTGAATGCTATAGCATTCATTTTCATGGTGAATGATCATTTTAATGTAAAAACTATTCTTTGTTTTGTACTCTATTTTATTTATAAACAAGTGTTAATTGTATAGTTTTGAATTTTGAATTGTACATGTTTATAGTATTGATATTTGAAATAGAAAATTAATTATTCTTGAATTGAAATTATATCTAAAACGCCTGACGTTTTTACTACTATTTCATATGAAGAAAGGATCGTATTGGCTCCTAATATTGTAGAATATAAACCGTAAAATAAAGATTTTAAATAATAAATATTATTGTACGTGTAGAATTAAATCATATGGCTAAATCAAAATCAAAGACCATATAAGTATACAAAAATATCTGAAGGAAGTTGACTAATCGTTTATTTCTCTATCAATATAAAAACATTACATTCAAAAATCGATTTTCAAAGCACAAGACAAAACTGATAAACTTGTCCAACTTAAAACAATAATTTCTGATACCAATCGATATTTTATAAATAAAATTCAATATTTGATCACCACATCCTATTCAAATTCACAATATTTTCACAACTTTTATACAAGTGACGCTGATTCACGCGCTGTTTATTAAACTTTTCATGTGTTTTATCATTTATAATAACGAATCAAAATATTTTTGATGGATCGTTTGATCAACGGATGTAGTGAAATACAATACTAATAATATATCAATTTTATTGTATGATTTGTTGAATTATATATTTTAATACACTCCAAGAATTATTTATTCAACAGCGAACTTTCATGTTTAGAAATTGATAAAGTATTTTATATGCTCGAATAAAAATAAACAGCGGATACAGCAAAATGCACTGATTAGAATTTTGATTATGAATTTCAAAATATTATCTTGTAGATAATATATTGGATAAGAAATAATTTGAAAATATTATGTTGTAATCATAATTATTACACAGTAAAAGTTTCGGCAAAGTACATGAGTCGTTTTATTTTTAAATTGGTTGTGATATCTGAAATTTGATTAAACACAGTTTATAAAGGTAGTCAGATTATCACATTTCAATAGAAATATATTATGAATTTTAATAATTCAATTTTAAAAAAAACTCTATGTTGTTGAATAAGTAATTAAAAATTTATACGTTTAAAATCACAAGTATTCTATTTTATTCATTATGAACTCTTTTATTTGCATAAAGTTACTAAATATGAAATTATTTAAATTTAATTAAGTAATTTTGAAAAAAATATGTTAATTGAATAAGCATTTAATAATTTATATGTTTTTTATTTGCAAAAAGTTATTAAATATATATTTTTTGTTCACTATTTTAATTACAACAATCCAGTTAAGGACATTTAGTAAATAAATATTTAAAAAATGATTTAGGTGTAATTAGTCAGTTATAAAAAAAATGTTGTTGAATAAGATTTTAATAATTCATATATTTTAAATCACAACTATTCTATTTTATAAAATATTTGGGATATTTTTTCTCTATTTAGTAAATAAATATTTAAAAATTAATTAGGTGTAATTATCCAATTATATAAGAATATGTTTAATGAGTTTTTAATCATTTATATATTTTAAATTACAAGTATTCTATTTTATAAAAAATGGGATTTTTTTATCTACTTTATTTACAACTGTCCAGTTAAATATGACATTTAGTAAATAAATATTTAAAAAATGATTTAAGTGTAATTAGCCAATTATAAAAAAATATATTGTTGAATAAGTTTTTAATAATTTATATATTTTAAAACAAAAGTACTCTATTTTATATATTTGGGATTTTTTCTCTATTTTATTTACAATATATAAATAAAATAAAAAAAAAAACAAAAAAAATAAAAATCATAAATATGCTATTCTATTCAGAGTATAATTTTCATTTGATTAGCACTAAATTAATAAACATACAGCTTGGAAATGTATAATTTTTGAGAAAGTAGAGTACCCTCGGATTTAAGAATTTTTAGGTAACTAATTAAATATTTAGAAAATCAACGCCCAAACATTTTTTTACAGATTAAAACAGTTTGGTCCTTTCTTTACCTTGAATAATAATTCTTTAAGATCACAAGTACAGACTGAAATTACAGCTGACACAGGTATTACAAATTCCTAGAGATTATTAACCCGAATACGATCGCATGCACCTTCCTAGTTATTCTTTGAGGAGAAAAAACTTGTTAATCCCCAAAGGATTAACTGACAAAGCAGCTAAGGTATATGAAATCCATCACTACCATTGTAATTTGGATTTTCGACTACCTGTTCATACGATTTTGAGTGTGATAATTTATGATTCAAAATTTTTTGCGGTTTTTGAGGAAGCAAGTTTTTGATTTTTATCGTTTGTATGGAAAATGCATAGTTGAGGAGAGCCCATTCATATTGCTGACTGATTTGTAATAGTATGAAAGATATATGCATTATGGGCAGGGCAAATTGATTCTGAAATCATCATTCTGTAATTATCCATTTTCAGTCAATGGTAATAATTGGTTAATTGATATTTTGTTTATATTTTGTTTAAACAAAATTTGAAAAATATGTTTTTTCAAAATATACAGTACTTCAAGATGTTCTAAAGTATGTTTTATATAAATATAAAAATTATTAAAAATATTTGCAATATTTTAAACTACAATTTTCTAAGCAAATGCAATTTACAAATGTATATAAAAAATTATAATTAAGCTATTAAAAATATGATTTTTCATTCATGTATTTTTAGAACTACAATCCATATCTGTGTCATTTCTTTAATTTACTTCGTAGTTTATACAATATTTTTTGTGCATAAATTTTTTTTGCACAGGATGTTTTGCAATAAGTGCATGGAAACGTATTTTGTTTATAAATTAGCAAAAATATAATTTTTCATTCATATATTTTTAGAACTACGATTCTTATCTGTATCATTTCTTGAAATATTTTGAATTTACTTCATGGTTTATACAATATTTTATGTGCATAATATTTTTTTGCACGGGATGTTTTGCAATGAGTAAAAATAGTTTTAAAAAATAAGTAAAAATTAAAACGTCGATCTTATAATAATTTGCAGTGCATAATATTTATATATTTATACACTTAGCTCCCTTAAGAAATTTTTAGCATTGTATAAAATTAGGTTTAATTATATTAGATAATTAATATATGAAAGATAGAGCTAAATAGAAAAGCAGAGCATCTCAAAAAAGTGAGTATCCCAAATGCCTTATTAAAAAGCTTGATGTAAATATTTTTGATAAATCGTTTGATGAACTGATTTGATAACTTTTTCATTTATTTTTTATTCCTAATTCTGTATAGGCCTCGCTTATATATAATTAGAGCATTTAGCCATCTATAACATGTCTTTATACTATCTTTTATTATATACTATTTTTATTATAGCCCATACTATCTTTTATTATATCATGTACTATCTTCATGCATCCTGTACTATTCAATTCTCTTTATAACAGACTTCTCCATTTTTCTTTATAACTGACTTCTACATTCTTCTTTATAACCTACTTCTACATTCTTCTTTATAACTGACTTCTACATTCTTCTTTATAACTGACTTCTACATTCTTCTTTATAACTGATTCTCCATTCTTCTTTATAACTGACTTCTACATTCCTCTTTATAACCTACTTCTACATTCTACTTTATAACTAATTCTCCATTCATCTTTATAACTGATTCTACATTCTTCTTTAGAACCGATTCTCCATTCTTCTTCATAACTGATTCTCGATTCTTCTTTATAACCTACTTCTACATTCTACTTTATAACTGACTTTTACATTTTTCTTTTTCTTCTACTTCTTCTTCTTCTAATTTTCAATTCTATTCTATCTCAAACCAACAATTCAAATTCTGCTTAATTTCAATTGGACAAATCAAATGACAATTATATGTCAGTGCCAAGACACGAACCGAGTATTCCTGACGAGTGAGTCGGGCATGATACTGATTGAGCTATTCTCGCCACATTATATTTATTCGTGAATCTATTTTTTCTACTCATAAATAGGTGAACTACAATGATTGTTTAAATATCTCAGAGTAAATAACGAATACTGCATCGAAGAATTTCAGTCCTTTGTGCAAGCTAGATTTTTTATTAATCAACTTGCCAATTAACGATTTTAGTCAATAAATTAAGATAAGTTGGAGAATAAATTAATACTTATTTTCTATGCCAAATTAGGTGTATTATGCACATTTACCATACATTTCAATTTCATTTGACTAGCTTGCCCAGATAGAAATTTGTATGCCTAATATATATAGTATCACGTCAAATTTACTAATGTGTTAAATACTTTGTTAAATAATTATCATTTGCACTATTCAATTTTGACCTTAAAGTTTTATAGTACAACTTATCATATGTACGAAATTTCTTAACACACATATATATATAGAGAATAAGATTTTTTTTCTAGAAGACTGAATATTTGTGTGTACATATTATTTGTCGAAATTTGCTTAAAGATGAATGAACATTTATTTTTCGTGTCGGTGATAATTTGAAATTCAGTAGTGTTTGCATTAACGTCATTGGCTTGAGAATTAGCAAGGAAAACAATACCGGCAGACTAACCCGAACTGAATTCGTTAACCGTTTAGATACCGTTTAGTTTTTAGGAAAAAGAGGAAATTTGTTTAACAATAATAACGGATACTATGAATAAGTTGACATATATCATACCCGGTCAGTCAATTAATGGATTGGCGAATTCGATCTGGACATTTTTTTTAACTACAACCAAAAATTTGCTAA